GCAAAATAAGGTGATTTTTTTTTCCTTTTCCTTTTTTTCTCCTTTTTTTTTTTTTTTTTTTTTTTTTTTTTTTTTTCAAGCACGTATTTCCGTTCCTCCGCCGACTTCAAAGCCGCTTCTGACGCTGCCTTGTCCCGACGGCGTTTCTTCTCTGAGAAGCTTTATCCTTTATCCAGAGCTAATCTTTGCTTGAAAATCGCGTACGCAAATAAGTGCCTTTGACTTATCCTTCTGGCATACTATCCTTAAACGAAAAAAAAGGAAAATGTACTTTTGATGAAAAAATAAATCGTCACGTTATTTTTGTGTTAATATTCTTATTGTTATATGTATATTTTTTGTATCTTAATTATTTTCCTTTTCTTTTCCTGGTTTCTGATTTTCTTCCCTTTTTTTCCTCTCTTTTTAATTGCTTTTCTTTTCTGTTTCTTTTTTTCACTTTTAGCGTATCTTCTTAAATATTTCTATTTATTCTATTTTTCATTGTTTCTGTTTTTCTTCCAGTTTATCCTTAAACCAAAGACAATATACATATATATATATATGTATATATATATATATATATATATATATATATATATATATATATATATATGTATATATATATATATATATATATATATATATATATATATATATATATGTATATATATATATATATATATATATATATATATATATATATATATATATATATATATATATATATATATACATATTCATATATACACATAATTTATCACGTTATTTTTAGTTAATATTCTTCTTAAATATTTTTTTTTTATTTTTCCTTTTTTCTAGTTTCGCTCTTTTAGGCTATTTTTTTTTTTTTTTTTACTAAGAAGCAAGAAAAAAATAGATTGCCGATTGACTGAGATTCGGGTTGATTGGGTATGCAGTGGCACGCCATTCTCGCCCTTATACCCATGCCTCATTTTCCCCCTTTGTTAACGCCGTAGGATCTTCGTTTGATTTGACATGGAACTCTGTTTTATGCGGCTGAGGACCTTGTAGGGAGGACGCATGTTCATGCTTGTAATGCGTCTGAAATAAACTTGTAGTGAGCTGCCGCTCTTACTGCCTCTTCCGGCGACCCACACCCGCTCAGCATCACCCAAAACCCCCATAAAAAGTCCCCACGACCAATATTATCAGTTTGGGCCAGCGTGCGAGCAAAGTGTCGGATGCACCGAAGGAGGCGCTGCAGAAGGTACTGCCTGACGGAGGCGCTGCATGAGGAGGATGGAGACGCCCTGAGCATTTTTCATCATATCGAGGAGATTTGGCCCAAGCTATCCATGCTTCGATGTCCCGATGTTCCACTCGAGGCCTGCGAAGGATGACGTCGGGAGATCGCCCTCATGGGTACGGGCATAACAAGATGGCGCCCAAGATGGCGACAGACAAGGCCGAGGGAAACTTACAACGGGCATTTGGCGCCAAACCCCTCAGCTAGCCCACGGATATATTTTTTATCGTCTGTTTGAATTTATGTATGTTTGTTCGTTTCTTTTAGTGCTTATATTATTTTATATGCATTTTTCTTTATTAAACCTCCTTTTATTTTTTTTAAACTACGGCAATCTACTGATAATATTTTAATATTTTAAGAAACTTTCATAGAAGGCAGACGACAATTAACCATGAAATGAATCTAGATGCGCGAACATCTCCTGGCGCACGACCTTGTTTGGATAAATAAGGTGGGGTCAACCACCTTGCTGGAGTCGCGCACAGGCATCTGCTCGTTACTACGGTTGGACTATCCCTCAGATAACCGCCGTTGTTTTTTCAGGCTTTGTCATTTTTTTCGTTTACGCTTTTATGGATCTTACAGTGAGTCTGCTGATTTATCAGGTATTTTTTTTATTTGTTTAATTTAAGATTGCCCATTTTTACGTGTATTTCTGTTTAACTTTTATGTTTCCGGAGGTTTTATTTCATTGTATTCTCGCTTTTGCTTTAAATAATAATAGTATTGAGCTTTGCCTTTTGTTTCGTTTATTTTCCAACTAAACATAAATGAAAATAAGTTTAATAATGATAAATAATGAAATGATGAAATCTGATAATAAATGATAATAAGTTGATACAATCTGAAGACCGTTGATACGGTGCAACAAAGTTTTATAGTTTATCTAACTTATTTTAAATCTTTTTATTTTAATAATAACTTTAATTTATTCTTATGATTTCACTTTTACGTTTTAATAGTTATGCACATTTTTAGTTATCTATATTTCTGGTCAATGCTTTGAGCAAAAGACTTTGTTTCGCACATCTTGTTCTTTGACGCTACCAACTATGATACTATACAAGACAAACGTCAATGACATTTACTCTGTGCCGGAACAGGAGGCCGGAGGCTTAGGTCTCGTTGGCTCCTACGGCCCCGCAACTAGGGGGGAGACACAGACAACCCCTACAAACTGCGTGGATCAGCGACGACCGGAGCTCTGCTACCTTGCTCCACGCAGCTTTCGTCCTGCCGTGTTTTTTTCTTTGCTCAGGCGGCGCTATCTCCAACATCCGCACCACATCGCCACCCCTGCCAGGTTATGTATAGTGCCGCTTTGTGACCTTACTGTGCTCACCTGTGGAGTTTTGGAACGTTTGTCTGTGTGCCCCAGTGACTGTGCCGTATAGTGACCGCTGCTGCTATGTGTGTTGATTCGTGTTACTTTTAATGTGATATTTCTTTTGTGTATTTTACATTTCTTGTTAGTGTTTTATATTTCTTGTTCGTATTTTAATTCTTGTTCATGTTTTACATTTCCTGTTTGTGTTTTATATTTCCTGTTTGTGTTTTATATTTATAATATAATCGGAATCTACCACCTATGAGTATTCGTTCCCTCAATGTCTTCTTTCACCTGGCAGAATCACAATGACAAAGATATAACATAAGATATGATTTAAGAGGACAAAAAAAATAGTAACTGAAACCCAAGATGTTGTATGCCTAAGCAAGCAAGATAATTCTGACGAACACCTGTACTGCTCATCCCTTGCCTTGCCGCTCATGCCACAAATACTACCATATTTTACCTTTGATACAACTGTAATTATTCGCTACAGCCATAAATTGGTGGCAGCGGTGGGATTTATTACGGATGCATTTTTTTCCTCTGTAAGAACCCATGCCACAGCACCAACGCATGCAAGCCGATAGTTGTTTTTTTTTTGCCTGGATTTAATGTCTTTTGTAAACGGACCATGGGATTAGGTGTAGGATATATTTATAGTGATCAGTTATAAGTGTGCCCTCTTGGTTAATACCGCTGATGTGCATGGTGACAAGTAACGTATTAATGACTTCAGTGTACTTAGTGTAAAAGCTGATTTTTGGCTTGCCTGATATAACTGTAACCTGATGTTAGTGACGTTACCTTTGATACGCATTACGGTGTCGTAGAGTTTGACGATTAATGTAATAATTTTCATTCTATCTTATTTTGTATTGCTTAAGTGGTCCTCCACGCCGTGATCGTATATACCCTAGAGAGCACACGAATCAGGATTTTTTTTTCTTTTATCTATAATCCATTGTTTTAGTGATGCCCACCACTACTCGCAGTGGGGTTTTGCAAACCCCAGCTGGAATGAATGAGGGCGAGTCAGAGAGTCAGTTCATACCTGCCGTCAATGAGAGTGATAGTCCTGAAGGGAACACTGAGGTTAATATACCGGTAAACCCTATTTCTAACACTAGCATGCAGGAAGTTGCAGATGTTACAGCTAATACAGATAATGTAGAATTCAATTTATCTTTCCAAATGTTCCATTCGATAATGAACAGCCTGTGTGATACGAGGACCACCATCGGTGAGCTTAGACAGTGTAAGAGTGACGCTCACGGGGGAATGGCAACCGCCGGTGAGGGAATGAAGCAAAAAGTGGTATAAATGAATTAACGAGTGCATTAGGGTGGCAAAGCGAAAGGATTAACCAACTTGTGGAAGCCATGACCCACCTGTCTGCCAGTGTATTATTTAATCATACCAACCCCGTTAATCCAGTAACCAGCACTAGTTCTCCCCAGATAAACCAGGTACGCTCTGGGCCCATGGCATTGGCCGCTGCGGTAGATGTTTCTCATGTAAATTCTCCTCCCCAGGTCAGACCAGACGGTTGCCAGATCCCTTATGGCTTCTCCCACTTCCGATGTCATGCATAGGAATCAGGTGTTAGAGAGTTGGTTGCGGCGCATCGAGTTGCATGGACAGACCGACGAAGACCGAATACGTCTAGCTCAGTGCTTTTGTAAAAACAATGCAGAGTTAGTTGTTAACTCCCCACAGTTCGACTCGATTTTAGCATGGTCACGCTTCAAGACACACTTGCGGCAGAAGTTCCGGGGTACCAGTTGCAGCAATGATTTCTTTACCACCTGACAAAGGAAGTCTATGAGAGAAGGGCAGACCCCTCAGGATTTCCTGCTCGAGGTCGAAGGGGCAGTGTACTTGGGAGCCCGGGATTACCCTCTCGAAATGGGAGAGCCAACATGTCTCATAAGGCAGGTTTTTTTTAACAGGTTTACCCTCTTATCTTTCAGAGATTTTAGTTGTGTGTGATGACCTGCCTTTGTGTGACATTGCTGCTAAAGCAAACAAGCTGTATCTAGCCCGAGCCACACGTGCGCCATTACGGGAGCCGCGACGTCCGCTACCCATGGCCGCAGTAGCTGACGAAGGGTTTAGGGGACAAGACCCACCTGTTATTAAACTGAATTGTGCCTATCACAGGGATTTTGGTCACACGACGTACGAATGTCGGGAGAAGTCAAGGGGACAGGTGTGCTGGCGATGTGCACGTGCAGGTCACTTCCGTTTTAACTGTCCCTTTCCAGCAGGCTGGACAGGTGATGGCCCACGCCCCTCTGGCTCAGAATTCAACGGGTCCAGCTCAGGTCAGTAACGTTAATGCTGTCAGGTCACCAAAACCCCAAAGGGATCGAAGAGTGAGATCCAGGCCAGCCCGTGGTGTTAACCAGGAGATCCATGACTGAGCTGCGCATAGCAGGCAAGAAGCTGAAGTGCCTCATTGATACCGGTAGTTCAGTTTCACTAATAAAACATTCAGCTGTATTAGGAATACACCTGACTTCTCGGGGGCGTACGGCTCGAGCCTTGGCTGGTATTTCAGGTCGAGGTCTCCATATCATTGAAGAGAGAGACTTCAGAGTTGACATTCCTCGTGGATAGAGAGCAGTACGTCGCTTCATCGTGGTCGAAGACTGTCACTTTCCAGGTGATGTATTGATAGGCATCGACTTTGTCAGACGCTTCTTCGTTTTGCAGCAAAATAGTAGGCCCAGCTATTCGTTTCTGAGAATTGGAGACATAGAATTACCAGTCACATTCACAGATTCCCCCTCACTCGGTGTGCTAGCAGTAAAGGTGAAGCAAGAGGGAATTTTTTATTTAAGTCCCATTTTCAGAAGCCCTTCCTCACTGTGTGCACGAGTGAAGAGAACAATAATGATGCCGGCCCACTCTGGTAAATTCGTACCTGCAACTGTTCGCATTCCCAGCAATGAAGTTTTGATAGAAGGAAATATAGGGGAATTACTAATACCGAGATCTCTCTGTAGAAAGACAAGTAACACCGTTAATGTATGGGTTGTAAACCTGGGTTATAGACCAGTAAAGTTACGCACAGGAAACTTTCTCTCCGTAGTCGCCTCTATTAATGAGTTCCCTCAGGTTGCAGCAGCAGAGTTGCAGGAAGAATGCCCATGGCTGACAGATAACGAATCCCCAGGGGAGTTGCCCACTCTGAGTCATCTTCCCAGTTTTCAGAGTGATGCCTTGTTGACGGTGTTGCAGTCACATAAATCACTCTTTGATGGTAATAAGTCCGAGGTAGGAGTAGTCCCAGGTATTTACCATTCAATACCCACAGGTGATGTGCAGCCTATTATGACGAGGCAGTGGAGACCTCAAATTTCCAAACAGATTATCAGAGAAGAGTGCAAGAAGATGCTGGATAGTGGCGTAATAGAACCATCCACCTCTCCATGGTTGTCCCCAATAGTCCTGGTGAAAAACGTGATGGCAGCCACCGATTCTGTGTAGATTTCCGCAGGATTAATACTGTCACCACGAGTGATTCTTACCCCCTTCCTCGCATGGAGGAATTAATAGATACTTTGGGTAAGAGTAAGATCTTCACAGTTCTCGATGCCAGGTCGGCATATTGGTCCATTGAGTTGACGCCCTCAGATCGTCCCAAGACCCCTTTTTCGAATGGTGTTGCACTGTGGCAGTTTAAGAGGATGCCTTATGGGTTGAAGACGGCAGGTGCTACATACCAACGTATGACTAACTTCATACTGTCACCTACCTTAGGTAAGCATACCCTGGCTTATCTTGATGACGTGGTCATTCATTCCCCCGATTTTAACACATATGAATGATTTGGCAGAGACACTAGCCTTATTAAAAGGAGGTGGTTTTAAACTGAATGTAGATAAGTGTAGTTTTGCTATGAATAGCATAAAGCTACTCGGGTTCGTCATTTCAGCAGGTGTGGCCCCGGATCCAGCAAAAGTGAAGGCGATTAGTGAGATGCAGACTCCACGCAACGTCAAGGAGGATCGCAGCTTCCTCAGAGCAAGCGGCTTCTTTAGACGCAACATTAAAGGGTATGCTACTACCCCTTTGACATCCCTCACGCGCAAGGACAGGAAGTTCGAGTGTACTACTACACATCAACAGGCATTTGAAAGAATGAAGGAGGCCCTTGTCAGTGCACCTGTATTGCGAAGGCCGGATTTTGCTATAACTTTCGAAATTCATTTAGATGCCTCGGGCGTCGCTGTAGGTGCCTGCCTCATACAGAAGGTGGACGGTGTACCTCATGCAGTAGCTTACTTCAGCCGTAAGTTGCGTGGGCCTGAGGTAAGGTTTTCGGCGACTGACGCCGAAGCACTAGCCGTAGTAGAGGCCATACGTGCTTTCAATGCGTATGTGTATGGGCGGTCCTTTGAGGTATATACGAACCATCGTCCCCTTACTTTTATTTTCAAACAGCTCGCATGTCCAGGTGGAGTCACGAGATTGCATCTTACGATTGCAAGATTGTTTATAAACAGGGAGCTATACATGCCGTCCCTGACTTGTCACGTGCTGGTGCAGCGATCGACCTCGCAAATGTCGACCCGGTAGCATTCAGGGACCTGCAATTGGAGGATCCAGTTTGCCAGAGTCTGGTAGAGTTCCTTGAAGGGAAAGGCTTGCCCAGAGCAAGAATTCCAGCTTCACTGGATGACTTTGAACCGAAAGATGGGGTGTTATATCACGTAAGAGATATCCCTTCAGGTCTTGTGAGCCAGCTAGTATTACCACCGAAAGTTAGAAACGCAGCCATGAAGATCATACACAATAGCAGCACGGCAGCTCACCCAGGTGTGTACCATACTTATAAAAGGCTACAGGATTATTACTCGTTCCCCAATGCTTTGCAGTTTTGTAGGAATTATGTTCAGTCTTGTGCAACTTGCCAGCGATGAAAGGGTGTAGCGAGAAGCCGAGCACCGCTTGCAGCCACTCTACTGACAGCCCCAACCCTTCCAGCGTGTATCAGTAGACTTGATAGAGCTCCCTCTTGCACATAATGGGGATAAATATATCTTAAGTCTCGTAGACGAGCTGACCCGGTTCGTACAGTTGGTTCCTTTGGCAGATAAAGATACTCACACTGTTGCTGATGCACTCGTTGCCCACTATGTTACCTTGTTTGGTCCTCCTCAGACTCTTATTAGTGACAATGGAGGAGAATTCACGGGTGAGTACTTCCATGAGGTATGTAACCTTATGGGCATCAAAACTAGGTACACCACACCATACAACCTCTCTAGTAATGGCTTAGTAGAACGCTGCAACCGTGTTATTAAGGACTGTCTGTCGAGTCTGTGTGAGAATGATCCGCAGAGTTGGAGTAGCAGAGTCGAATATGTGAGATTGGCAATTAATTCAGCTTTTCATCGAAGTGTTTGTAACCAACCTCTCTACCTTCTCACAGGACGTGAATGCACCTTTCCTATTGGCATGACGAATCACCAGACGCGTGCCGGTTGGAGGTCGTCAGTTAGGCCTCATTGCTGCTAGGAATGCTGTGGCCACTGGTACTCAAAGGGTGAGGGAAGATAACATGGAAGCAGTTGACTGTAAGACCAGAGCCACCCCTGAGCTTACCGTTGGTTCTTTGGTAATTAGGAGACAGCAGGCACCAGGTAAAGCAGGTGGTTTGGCTTCCAGATGGATTGGTCCTTTACGCATCATTAAGAAAGTAGGTCCAGTGTCGCATATTCTCAGAGATATTGTTAATCAAACTGAACATAGGGTTCACAGAAACCAAATCATACCCTTCCGAACTGATAGTGAGTGTCGGTTGGTTACTCCTGATGGTGTTGAGGAGCCCACATCAGATGTGGAATCAGGTGTAGATGACCCACTAAGTGTACTTTTACTTGGTCTTGTTAGACCTACTTAATTTTTTTTTTTAGCTAGCTAGCCATTGTAAACGGTCCGTTATTTGTGTATAGTTTTTAAGAATTGTTTGTAACTGGTGCAGCTTTTCAATAAGCGGTTGTGACTGTAAAGGGGATCACAATACAGATAGAAGCATCACTCCACTGATGAGGTGAAGCACAGGGTCAGTGCACTATTTACCTGTATGTTTGGTTGGCAGGTGCATGGTTACAATCCAGAGCTGAGCAGTGTCTGTGATGCCCGCTGATACCCCACCAAAGCTGAGCAGTGTCCGTGATGTCCGCTGATGCCCCACCAGAGCTTAGCAGTCTCCAGGACGTCCACCAAGACCCCGCATGTGTCCTCAGGCGAAGTTTTCCAGTACGTTCTCATCCGGGTCAGAGCGCCATCACGTGCGATCCAGGGGGGCGGATTAAGGTGTTTTCGCGTTATCCAGTGCACCCCATCAACGTGAAACCGCCTACGATCTCAATGTCCATCGAGGCCGCCATCGGAACCTTTCGAGTACCCACGGGCCGCTCTGCTAGGCCAGAGCGTGGGTCACATGACACCGATGACCTCGTAGGTCGTGGCAGCTCACCGAGACGGAGTCGCAGCTGGGGGGAGGTGGTTGTAGTGGCACGCCATTCTCGCCCTTATACCCACGCTTCATTTCCCCCCCTTGTTTGCCGCCAATGTTAACGCCGTACGGATCTTCGTTTGATTTGACATAGAACTCTGTTTTATGCGGCTGAGGACCTTGTAGGGATCTTACATCCTATGACATTATTATGGACCGACGCATGTTCGTGCTTGTAATGCGTCTGAAATAAACTGCGTGGATCAGCGACGAGCCAGCTATCAGCCCCCAGCTTGTTTGCCCATCTACCCGTCGTCGCGGTGGTTCGCGCCAATACAGCTGTAGCTATTCGCCACAGGTAGAGAGGAGTGGAGGGGGGAGGGGGGGTATGGAGTTGGATGAGAGGAAGGGGGGGGGGGCATAATGAGAGAGGAATGTAATCATAAAATTAGAGAATGGTAATGATAATTATTGCAATGATAATAGTACTTATAATAATGATAACGATAATAATAGCAATATCAATAATAACAGCAATATCAATAATAACAATAATAATAATAATAATAATAATAATAAAAATAACCATGATAATAATAATGATAATAATAACAATAAGAGCAATAATAATATTAATAACAACAATAATCATAACAACATGAACAATGATAATAATGATTATAATAATAGTGGTGATAATGGTAGTACAAGTAATAGTAGTAATCATAATAATGATAATGATATTAATGATTACAAAAGTAACGATAATAGTAAGGCCAATGATAAAGATAATAATGTTAATGATAATAGTGATGATAATGATAATAATAATAATAATAATAATATCAATGATAATAATAACAATAATAATAACAATAATAATAATGATAATAATAAGGATAATAATATTAATAAAAATTATAATAACAATGTAATTTATATCATATTAATATTGTTGGATTCCATTTGTTACAATGGATATTCTTGGTGTGACATACTGTCTGTTTTATTTTGCTTCTAAATTATCCCCTGTGCGCAAGGAATGGCCGGGGTTACCATCCACTGGCGGCGAGGGATTCGAACGCAGGTCAGCAAAATTGCTAGACGAGATCGCTACCGCTGCACCTCATAGTCACAGTAATAATAATGATAATAATAATAATAATAATAATAATAATAATAATAATAATGATAAAGATAATAATAATGATAACAATGATGATAATAATAGTAGTGATAATAATCATAACGATAACAATTATAATGATAATAACAATGATAATGATAGTGATGACGATAACAACATCGAAAACAATAGTAATAATGAAAATGATAATAATGATAATGATAATAATAATAATGAAAATAATAATAATGATAACGATAATGGTAATATGATTATAATAAAAATGACAATGACAATAATAATAATGATGATAAGAAGAATAAACATAATTAGTAACAATAACAATAATAGTGACCATAATAATTGGTAATAAAGATAATAATAATAATGATAACAATAACAATAATAACAACAATCATGATAACAATAGTTACAAGTGAATATAAGATTGAAATATGATACTAAGATTGCAATTGCTTATTGCAGATAAAACCTACTTGGATTTGCATGAAATGATCTTTCAGACTAAAGAGATTCATTACAACTGTCATATAAAAAGAAAGTAAACAAATAAATAAATAAAAATAAAAACAAGAACACACATGAATGAAAATGAATAGTATACAACGCAAGCAACGTAGCTGAGGCCTTTCGTTCTCCATTAAAAATATAGTTATTATGAGGTATATTTAATCAAAGCGTTTCGTACAATTTTTTTCTGCATTTGGTAACTATTCTGCCTTATCTTTTTCTTTTTCTTTTTCTTTATTATTTTCTATAGAAGTTGTAATGCTTCATTTGAATGTTGAAAACTTTTTTTTTCTTAGGAAGGATATATGTATTATTGATATTATTATTATCATCATTAAAATTAATATGCTTTATTACCATTATTGC